CATACTAATTTGTACTTTGATAATATCAATTGAAAATTTACAAAATTTTTTTTTTTTAATAGAGCAGGGGTCGCGGTGGAAAAAAGGTTGAAAATCACTGTGATAAGTATTTGATCTAAGGCATGCAATTACCAGAAAAGTGCAAATAATTTTGTCGACGTTTTAGCCAAAAATTCCGGATCAATTTTATAAATTCAAAATTGTTCCTAAATGATTTTTAACAATTTTTTTTGGTGATTTTATATTGTAATAGAGTTCTTGGTCTTAATTATCATACTAAAATATTGTAGGGCTGTGGTAGACCAGTGGTTAAATTATTAAAATTAATTATTTCAAAAATACGCCATGTGTGTTTAAGGCGCTTGTTTTTTTTATACAATAATGTGTATAATTCAATAACCTCGGTGCAAAAAAGTTTGGAAACCACAAGTGATTAGCAATTAGCAGAAAAGTGCAAACATTTTTTTGTCCACGATTCAGCCAAAAATTTTGAATCAATTTTATAAATACAAAATTCTTCCTAAATGATTTTTAACAAATTTTTGGTGATTTTATATTGCAATAAAGTTCCTGGTCTTAATTATCATATTAAAATATTGTAGTGCTGTGGTAGACCAGTGGTTTAATTATAAAAATTAATTATTTAAATTTTTCGCCGTGTATGCCTAAGGCGCTTGTTTGTTATACAACAAAGTGTTCTATTTAAACCAATTGTTAAAAATAATTAACAAGTTTTGAAAATTTATACAAAATTCAATATTCTCGCAAGATGCATTACAGAAACTTGGTATAGTTATGAACCATTCACAAAAATATGATTACTTTTGTTTAAGTTGATTATATACACATATCGAGAAGTTTATACAATTTGCCATAAGGCATAAATTCACATACAACGTGTATAGAAAAAACTGATATATTTCATTGGAAGAGTACAGTTTTTTTTTGTATGTTTAGGTCGATACATGTATATACACATATAGTAATCAGACATTCCTTTATATATATATATATATATATATATATATATATATATATACAGCCATTCATTTATTCATTAATAGCAAATTAGAGATATGTAGTTTAATGAGCAATTATTCAGTATAACTAGATTTTTATACACGATTTGATTAAACAAAGCATTGATAATGACAAAGAATTTATATTTTAATTTTTTGATCGACATTGTAACATATTGATATGCAGTAAAACAGCCAAAGTTTCAAAATAATAGGAAATATTTGTTTTGGTTTAAACGTTTCGAGACCAGATGTGTCTCATCATTCAACAGAGTAAAGAAAAAATAAAATAAATTAGTAAGTAATCTATTGAAAAAATCCTTTAGCACTAATTGTAGGAATAAAATTAAGCAAATTGTAAAAAAGAACATTGTAAAAGTAAAAAACTACTTATAAAACATTCCTGAACATTGAGGTTATGTTACCTAACCTCAACATAATATCTTAACATCAATGTATTTCACTTTCAAAATAGTATTTTCCAATTTACTTAACTTAATTATGTTCCTACTAAAGCTTTTTTTACAATAAATTATTTGCAATAGATGTGTTTTAGTTTAGTTTTTCTGTTGCTCTGCTGAATGATGAGACTCATCTGGTCTCGAAATGTTTAAACCAGAATAAATATTTCTTTTTATTTCGACGTAGTAGCTGTTCTATATGTCTGCTACATATCAATATGTATGTATAATGTAATAAATTAATATTTTTTAAGTCTTTATAAATGGTTTGTTTTCCCTGCAAAAATAATTAGTGTAAGTTAAGTACAACGATGTGAAACATGTCCACATATTATATTAAATAAATATCAAGATATAATATATATAAGTATATATATATATATATATATATATATTTATATACACAAATATATGTTTTTAAACTAAAATGACTGCTTTTCGTCATTAGTACCATTTACTTGTAAAACAAATGTTTCGATTTTAAGCATTTGAAGAAAGATCTTTGAAATTTTCAAAAATAGTATGTACTGACTAATTTGTTTTATATAAGCTTAATAATTTCATAAAACTTTCATCAACATTTTCTGTGAAATTAAACATATAAAAATATGGAAATTAAGTTTTTCAAAATTTCATTAATACAAATTTTTAAATTATTTTATAAATTTTATACAATTTTTGCAGTCTTTAAAAAAAATATGTATTTTACAAATATCCGTTCGTTTCTCATAATTTTCATGAATTTTATAAAAATCTTATTAAAATGTTCATAAAAATGACAATATCCTGTATGTTATATAATATTACCAAAAATTTCATATATTTCTCATATAATTCAAAGATTATTCTTCAAGATGTAAAAAATAAATGATGAATTACAAAGTTTAATTAAAAATTGTATTATTTTCTTATTTAGAACCTTTTACGAGGCCTTGAGTTTATTTGAAAAATATATACGGTTGTATTTATTAGGCCAGTAAGAACCATGAGCATAAAATCAGCAGATCAAAAACAAATATCCATCATTTGTTCCGACTTTTTCAAAATATATGTATACATGTATTAATTTTATAATCACAAAGATATGTATTAATATATAGTCATTGCACATTCATGAAACATGTGTCATTAATAATACAAATTTATTTATTGGGCGTAAAAATATCTAACAAGGAGAACTATTTAGATTTACTTTTTCGTAACATTCTGTAAATATTAAAATATTATAGGCCTAAGGGTAGTGGTTGGATTATAGAAATTAATAATTATACCACTTTCCAAAAGCCTATAATATTTTAATGTGTTCGTTTTGACTCTAAGCGTTTTATCAAAATCCCAGAAAATTAAACAAAATTCTCCTAGTAAAGTTCGAAGAAAGTGTACTGACCAAATATATTTACATGTATTTATACATCAAACAGTCGTAGAGATAAATATATTAAGAGGTTTGTAAAATACGATTGTTTTTAGTACAAAATTTAGAAAATTTTATATGAGCACAGTTTAGGTTCATTAGTATCTCGCTTAAAATTGTAGTATGAAATATAGATATAGAATATTGTAGCAAAACAATTATTAAAATGTATTGTGGTAATAGACAAACTAAATTACACATATTACTAAATTATTCATATTTTTTCTACAATCTTATTGTTAGATTGTAATAATTAATTTTCATTAGTTGAGGTTATGGTTATATCTTCATATAAATTAGTAGTAAAAACTGTGAAAAATTATGTATTTGCTGTGTGATTAGGCGTTTTACATATAAAACCCAACTTCAAGTATATATTATCCAGATTATATTATATATTTTACAGATAATATGATAACGTTGTGCGTTTTTTAGGTTAGGTTTGACAGTTTTTACTACCAATTCATATGAAGATAGGACTGTAACTGAATTATAAATATTAGGGCTTTATGCAAATACAGTCACTTTCTAACAAATACTTATAAATAGATATTTGAATTATCAAGTATATTCTGTATCTTTCGTATGCCACTAACCTCCACAAATAAATACAAGTGGTTTTAGAAGTCGAGTAAAGGGTAAAAAAGAGATTTTTCCGTATTAGTGATAGCAATGCAAAAATATATTGCATCTAAGTTATAACCACGTAACAATATTGAAAATATTAACAGGATTTTATGATGCAACAAATTATCAACAATTAAGTAAACCTATCGATGATAAATTGAACAAACGATGTAAAAAAATCCTAGCTCGGTGAATATTACATTCCAATCTAAATTAAGAACATAGGCTTAGTTTTAATAGTCTTCGATGGATTTTAATGCCATGCACAAACTAATATCACTTTTGTTATCTTTTGGGATGTTCAGTTCTGTTTAAACCCAATACATTTTAAAATTGCTCGATTGTATAAATATTGTCATAAGTATGAATAGATTTGACACATCATTAGGTAAAAATATTAAATATATATATTTAGACATACTTTGTTTAATGAACAACAACAAATTAAAGACATAATTGTTACCATTAATTGATTTAAATATAAATGATAAATAAAAAAATAAAAATAATAAAATAGAAGCAAAGAATTCACATGAAAAGTGTGTTATATAAATTAATTAATTTTGCTAAGTGTTTGTATTCATGATTAATAATTTAATTTTAAACTATTTGTCTAATTTTCCTAATTTTTTTTGGGTTGATATAAATTTTTTACTATCAGTCCACGAATATGTATTTCTGGATTAAGATTTGGTCCTTATAATGACACATATATATATATATATATATATATATATATATATATATATATATATTTGAATAGTCTTGAATTTGATGTTGATATATATGTTTAATTTGAGTTTTAATATTCGGGCGTAGCATTAATAAAAATAGTATGAGAGTTTTTTTAAAAGTTTATTTATTTAAAATCCATACGTTTCGGCTAGCATCTTAGCCATCATTCAGTGGTAATCAAATTAACTATAAAAATTGAAACTAAATAAATTATATGTAAGAAAATTTCATGGAAAAACAATAATAATAATAATAATAATAAAACACTTACAATTTTGTATCCTAATATAGCATATGAAACCATTATTAATTATATTAATATTAATTATAGTTTAATAATGGATTCATATGCTATATTAGGATACAAAATTGTAAGTGTTTTATTATTATTATTAATATTATTGTTTTTCCATAAAATTTTCTTACATATAATTTATTTAGTTTCAATTTTCATAGTTAATTTGATTACCACTGAATGATGGCTAAGATGCTAGCCGAAACGTATGGATTTTAAATAAATAAATTTAAAAAAAAACTCTCATACTATTTTTATTGATGTTACGCCCAAATATTAAACTCAAATTAAATATATATATATATATATATATATATATATATTTATAGTTCTTTAAACAAAGTATGTCTCATCCATTACACGACTGTAGCAAATATATAGAATATTATTATATGGCTATTCTGAATGTTATTTAATTTATACTTAATTTAATAATATTATATAAAAATGTGGGCTACGAGTTAAAAATACTTGAATCAATATACAATATAGATTGATTGAAAACTTTTAACACTAAATCTTAAAGGAGAAGTTTGTTTCCACCAGAAAATCTGGTTAATAAATTATTTCTCAGTTTAGTGTTAAAATCCACATTTCCACTTACACCTAAATCAATTACCACATACACACAATTTCCGATTCGCTCATATAATATCATGAAGTACATATTGCATTTTTTGTTTATAAATATAGAAATATATAACTATTCCACCATTCACATACGTAAAACTTAATAGTTTAAGTTAAAAGTTTAAATAAAATCTTATTTAGTAATCACCATTCGTTAAAAACAATTCTTTGCAACACAAACATTGTCTTCGATTTAAATTGTTTAATAATAATTTAATATAGGGATAAAATATTAATATTAGCACTCGTTCACATATCACATGCCGGACTCGGCTATGCCTTCATCATCTGAAAAAAATAATAATATTAATAGAGGAAATATTTAATTCAAGATGCAAATTGGACATGCTTCTAAAAAATAATATTTTACAAATTTGAAAATTTTTTACTTGTTTGGTTCACATAAGCATAATTACACACGGATTATGAAGAAACCGAATAAATTCATTTAACATATAAAAGTAAGAATTGAATTTATAATCAATTTGTGTTGATTAAGTCCATTATTTCTGGAAGTTCATACAACTTTCCTTAAGGCATGATGGCACTTACAACTACAAACTTATTTTATACTGCCATAGCCTCAAAATATTCCAAACATTCTAAAATTTGATAATATATTTCATTTTGCTCCAAAATTTTAAATAGCCAATTTTTAATGATATATACGTATGACGAATATACTCGTCAATACAAAAATTTCTGCTGCTTCTGCATGACGAGTATACTTGTCAATCACATTTCACTTCATGTTAATTGAATATTACTTATTTTCGACAAATAGTTTAAATTTTATGAGTGCGCTTTCCATGTCGTCCGAACCTAACACAACGCTTTCTCATACATTTTTACTTAGGCTTGGATACGCATGGTAGGGGTTACTTCAAAATTTTTAGTACAAACGAATTTAATCAGTTTGAATGTTGTTTAAGTGACAAAACTAGATATAAGTGGTATTTTGCCTTAAGGCAAGTTGTCTGAACTTTCCGATATGTGTGAATAATCGACTTAATTTGTAGATAATATTTTGCGTAATCACTAAGGTGAAGATTTTTTAAGTTTTGTCAATATAAAAATAAGTTTATGCATTTATAATATTTTTTTTAAATGTATCAGTAGTTCTTGAAGAATATAGATATTCCAAATCCTCGAAACTTTGAATAAAATATTTGAAAAAAATTAAATAAACAAAAAAAATTAAGAAAAAAGAGAATTTTAGAGCAAAAATTTAGCTAACGAGACAACTTTAATAATATATTTAAGAATGTGAACTAAAGTGGAGTGTGGCAAGGATGCTCCAATTATGATATTAAAGATGTATAAATTTTCGTGATAAAATAGAACTCTACTGACAAAGGAATTGATTCTAGATTTGGATAATTAAAACATATATAGACATGTACTACGAATAAAGCCAATATTAATCTCAAGATATTTTTGAGAAGAATAAAAAGAACTCACCACGATAAATTTTTAAGCAAAGACAGCAAATAGATATTGCAGCGATTTAAAAAGCAAAACAAGACAATTCGTCCTTTTAATATAACACAATATATAAAGCATGCAAATTATTAACTTAAGTCTACAAATACATGCAATGACATTGTTAATTACCATGATTGTTAAAAATGTTTGAGTAAAAACATGCAATTTATATAAGAAATAGAAACGTTGTGGTTTATATGTATCACGAACCGTAGAAGGTATCCCAGAACTCAACGTCAAGCCGAATCAGGGATTGCAACTATCACAAAAATTTAATAACAAAAATTATACATATAGTTTGAAAAGATATGAGCTTTTAAGTACAACCTAGAGCTTTGTCAAACTATAATCATTTTTTCAGTAAAAATAACAAGAAGAACTCTACTGTCTAGCAAAGTTGTCGAAATGGACTTTACTGACAAGCAAACTTAACAAAAAACAACTCTACTGACAAATAAATTAACAAAAAAAAATTTACAGACAGACAAACCGTTGAGAACATTTGATGAAAATGAACTCTACTGACGAGCAAAACTAACAAAAAAGAACTCTGCTTACTTAATAAAATTAAAATTCGGCAAATATTTAAAACTCTGAATAGAAACTTTACAGACGATCAAATTTGATAATTAAAAAAAACTCTACTGATGAGACTTGATAAGAAAAAACTCTACTGACGAGCAAACTCAATAAAAAAGAACTCTACTGACGAGCAAATTAACAAAAATAATTTTTACAGACAATCGAACTTGATAATGCAAAAAAAATTAACTTTACTTACTTTAGTACATTTGATAAAAAAGAACTCTACTGACGAGCAAAATTTGACGACAAAAAACTTTACCAATAATGAATCTTGATGATGAAATAAAACTCTACTGTTTACCAAACTTGATGAAAAATAACTCAACTGACAAGCAAGGTTAACAAAAAAACTGCCAATAATGAGAACGGTCGATAAAAACGAACTCTACTGAAGAGCAAATTTGACGAAAATAAACTTCAGGCAATTAAACTTGATGCCAACAAACTCTACTCAAACTTGATGAAAAAGAACTCTACTGACAAGCAAATTTGATAAAAAGAACTCTGCTGATGATGAAAACGCTCTATAAAAATCTCTACTGAAGAGTAAATCTGACAAAAAACTCTACTGACAAACAAAACTTGACAAAAAACAACTCTATTGATGACGTCGTCGATTGATGAAAGTCGTGATAAGAAAAACTCTATCAAAGAGCAAATTTGGCAAAAAGAACAGGATCAGACTTTATGATAAAAAAAAACTCTACTGATTAGCAAAGTTTACAAAAAAACTGCTGATAATAAGAACGCTCGATAAAAAAGAACTCTACTGACAAGGAAAGTTGGCATAAAGAAACCTTGATGGTGAAAAAAAACTCTACTTGATAAGAAAGAACTCATCATCAGATAAAAATTCACTTCTTTTTGATGTATTAAATTTGCTCGTCAGTAAAGTCCTTTATTTATTCTTTAGTTTAAATTCAGTTTTTTTTCCCTTTTCGTCTTCTAGTTCAATATTCAATTTGCTCGTCAGTACAATCATTTTGTTTGTCAGTAGTCCATTTTTGTATTTTCCTAGTCAATTTTTAATTTGCTCGACTTAAAAATATCCAAAAAATGGTGACAGTTTGACCAAAGTTTTAGGTAGTACTTAAAAGCTCATAACATTCAAACAATATAAGATATATTTTATCATAGTTACAATCAATACTGTCAACCTAGTTCCGATTTGACGTTGAGTTCTGGGACACCCTGCACAATTTAAAGCTGTAATTTTTACCATTCGTGATACATATATCCCTATCATGCTTAGTGAGCAAGCTTAGTAGTTGTCAATCTTGTTATTCACCGTCACCAAAATCAGGAACCAAAATTTTCTCTAAGACGAGATCAGTGTGACATCATCTCCTCCATTGACGTCACCATTATGCGACGACGACGTCACGTCCCCGCTGTCCTCATCGTTAGCAGTGACGTCATCCAACAAACCGTCGACGTCACTGGCATAATCCGTCGTGGGAAATATACTGTGATAAGTTGTAAAAGTTCCACTGAATCTGGTTGTGCGATCGTCTAAGACGATTTTGGAGCGTCGTTTCATCACTTCGGTGTCTGAACGCGACATGATACCTTCGGGGTAATGGTTCATGCGGATGGTGTCAGCAGGGTTGTCGTCGTTGTAGACGAACATGATGTTTTCGTCTTTTTTGATGGTGTCGTTGAAACGGCCGTCGAAGTAGTCGAGTTCGCCGTCGTTGGATATGTTGAAGCTTCTTTGGTCGCCGTCGTTGTCGCCGAACAAGGTGAGGTCATCACCGTCATCATGCACCTCATCATCCTGACCCACAACTTCATCATCCTCTTCTGGTCCATTACAAGCGACACTATCATTATCATTATTTTCACTGCCATTATCATTATCTTCATTATCATTTTCTCCACTATCATCATTTTCCCCAGGTGAGTTTTCGACTTCGTCAGATTCGCCTTCGCCGTGGCCGCTGTCGTCGCAAGTGACGGCGTCGAGGTCGCCGCCGCCGTTGAGCAATCGTCATCTCTCCTTTTCGGCTTCGCCGGTCAGAGGAGCGTCCAGGAGAGCGTTCGGATTGGTTTTGTCTAAATCGTTGCGCATTAGGAGGAAAATTATTTGTGATTTTTAGGCACGGAAGATATTAATAATACGAGAGGTGGATTTGTGGGATTGACTGCTATAGTGATAATAATAATGAGAATAAATTGGTTTGAATTGACACACTATAAACGGGGCGGGTAAAAATACCCGTCTTGAGTATTAGTTCGGGTATTTTTAAATATTACTAAGGGGACGTCTATTAATCACGTAAGATTTTTAGGGGGAGGGGAGAAGTGTTGAGAAAAATCATGAAATATAAAATGGGAAAAGAAGAAATCTAAGAAGATATCACGTGTATTTATTTTTTCCTGAATTTAAAAAAAATTCAAATATTTTATCAAAAAAATTACAACTTCTTCTTGTAACTAAAAAGTGCTGGTTGTGGCTAATTTTGAATATCACCAAGAAGGAGGAAAGGAGCAAAAATCCTTAAAAAATCGATCACGTGATTAATGGATGCCCCCTAACTTTAAAATCGATTTACATATCTGTTTACATTCAATTATGATAATTATCAATATGTAGATTTTTGACATTTTTACATTCCTTAAAACGACTTAAAATTTTCATTACGAACATTTTAATTTATCATCAGTAAAACTAGATAAAATTTACTAAAATCATGTAAAAACTTTTGTATTCACATACTTAACGAAAACTTGAATAAAACTTGTTGGAACATTTACTTTCTGGTAATACACCTAACAATGTATTGATTTTGAATTTTTTTAATTATATAAAATAAAAAATAGATAAAATTGAAAAATAAAAAACTGAAATCGAAAATTTTAGAAAACAACTTTAAACAAGTTATAAACCCTACATATTCTTTTTTATCAACTACTTCTAATATTATTTACAATAAAATTTTCAATCGGTCTAAAGAAGTTTTACTTCAAAAATTTGAGTTTGTGTTTTTAATCGCTTGTTGAATATCGTTTAAAAGGTCTTGATGAGTAGAACACGATTTTTATACAAAAACTGTGCATATTGTGATATAATTATATTATTATTAACAAAAATATTAGTTTGTTAAATTTTTAAGGTGTAAAACTTTTGTAGCAAACATTAGAAAATTAACTATGTGATTCGCCAAAATAAAATCACATTTTTAATAAATTTGTGTTAAATGAGTCTAAAAAAGTTTTACTTCAAAAATTTAGATTCTATCTTTTATGGCATGTGGGGTATCATTTGAAAGGTCCCGAAGAGTAGAAAACGATTCTTATAAAAAATAACTATTTTTACAAAAACTTATAACTCGATAGTTTGCTCTATATGAATTTAGAACATTTTTTTTACATTTCTTCAAATAACTTTAAATTTTCTTAGCAAACATTAAAATTTATTTACATTAGTAAAAACTAGATAAAATTTACTAAGATCTAGTAAAAACTATTTTATTCACTTGTATAAAATTTTTTTGAATAATTTTTTAGTTAAAATGGGGACTTTAGTATTTCCATAATTTGCAATACATGAATTTAGTACATTTTTATACTTTTCTTCAAATAACTTTTAATTTTATTCCCGGACATTAAAATTTATGTACATTCCTAAAAACTAGATAAAATTTACTAAAATCTAGTAAAAAGTGTTAATTACACTTTGATATCAAAATTTTGAATAATTTGTAGTTGAAATGTGGACTTCAGTAATTCCATAATTAAAGTTTAAAGTACATTTTTGTACTTTTCTTTAAATAACTTTTAATTTTCTTCCCGGATATTAAAATTTATTTACATTAGTAAAAACTAGATAAAATTTACTAAAATCTAGTGAAAACTGTTATATATACTTGGATATTAAAATTCGCAATAAATTGTAATTGAATTGCGGACATTCATAGTATAATTATTACCATCGAAGCAGTCAATCCTCACACCAAAATTAGTAACCACTAATACACGAGGAAAGTAAGAAACATTAAATATTTAGATTACATTAAAATGATTTATAACAAAATGTTAGATTAATACTCATTGTTAAAATGTTGAAAAGAATGTAAAGCGAGTGGTGTATATATATAAAACATAATCAAAGTGCTCTTAAGCGTTTCTATGTACCATTAGGGGAAACCAATTTAAACCAACACCTTGATAAAGGAGTTATTCGACAAGTTTTATTTTTTGGTTAAGATTTTTAAATAGGAATCTTACCTTCAAATCCTTGGTTCTCGTGTATCTCTCTTGGAGGTCCTGTGTTGTCTCGGCCTTCGAGGACAGCCAGAAGACATTGGTGTATGCAGATGTACTGTTGTTCCGTTTGGACCATCCATACACGTTCTTTGCGCATTTGCCACACAATTCCTAGTAAAAGAAATATTAGTAATACTCGTATATATATATATATATATATATATATATATATATATAATATTTTTGCCAAATATTTCCCAAGTCAGTAGTGACTGTATCTCAATTCTCCCTTACCAAATATATCCACATAATCATTGACCCTGATCTGCTGCAATATCCTATCGAGTGCAATAAATGTACCAGATCTACCGACACCAGCACTACAATGTACAACCACAGGCCTCTGTTCAGGACCAACTCTTTCCCGGAAGGCTCTTGCAAACCTCACCAAAGTTTGAGGAGGAGATGGGACACCGAAATCAGGCCACGTTGTAAAGTGGAAGTGTTTCATTACACGCTGAGTTTCTCCCTGAAGGAAAAAGATAGTGGAAATATATTAAAAAGTGATAAACTTTACTATTTACCTGTATTTTATATTATTTGATGGCAGTATGTTTTTAATAGCTCTTTTCATACTTATATCAATTGAAACAAATATATATGCAAACAATATTATATTATGATAGTATAATGATATTCCCAGAATAGGTGTGTACAATTTGTATCTTTATGTAAAAATCAATGTATGTATTCAAGTCAAATAAAGCAAATTTTCAAATTAAAATTTGAATTTTTACTATTTACCCCTCTTCGTATGTTTACCTGTCCACTTGTCTATCAATATTTTTATTTGTATATAAATTAATATTAATGAGATTGTAATGATTTTTGACCATCATGTGGCATTTTTTTTTAAACTTTTTTCTATTATAAAAATCCAAGCTCTCGAAATCGTCGACGAAATATTGTATCCACATGTAGATAAATTATAATAAATTGTAATGATTATTTTTTTATTATAGAAATCCATGCTCACGAAATCGTCGACGAAATATTGTATCCACATTCACATAAATTATAATAAATTGTAATGATTAATTTTGATTTTTTTTTTAATATAGAAATCCATGCTCTCGAAATCGATAGATATTAATAAATTGTAATGATTATTTTTGATAACTTTTTTTCTATAGAAATTCATTCTCCCGAAATCGTCGACAAAATATTGCATCCACAAATACATAGATAATAAAAATTTGTAATGATTATTTTCGACCACCATGTAGCAATTGTTTTTTTAATTTTTTTCTATTATAGAAATCCATGCCCCCAAAATCGTCGACGAAATATTGCTTTTTTCCCTAATTTTGTAAGATATGCTAGGCTTTATTAACTTTCCTTGGTGTAAATTATTGTAATAGCCCAAAAATGATTTTTTTTTTTTAAATTAAATATTTTCGACATTATGGACATGAATGGGTACCAAAGACTTTCAAGATATTTCAAAATTTACAAACGTTAAAAAAAAAATCAAAAAAATTCAAAGTTTTCAAAAAATATCAGAATATTCAAAAATTTCAATAAATGTCGATTTTCTAAAAACGCATTATTCCCATTTTTTTCAATATTCAAATTTTTCAAATGTTTTTAAAACTCAAGAATTCTCAAGAAAAATCTAATTTTTAATTTCCCTTAGGGTAAGTTATAGTATTCGCAAAAAAATCGAAATCGAAATTTTTTATATATCTTTACGTTTCAGCAGTTTCTAAACATTTTGGCATACCTTAGAAAAAATGGATATATGTGTGTGTGTAGGTATGTATGTATGTGCGGATACAAATTTTCGTCGACGATTTCGGAAACACGGATAAAGCGATTTGAATAATTCAAAAAATTCATATTGATAAGGAGACGTGCTGATTAGTTTTTGGCAAGGGCAGGTCTAGCCGTTTCGGAGATACGGAAAAAAGTGCCAAAAATGAGTTTTTGAGAGAACGGAGCACCCGATATTAATGATTCACAAAACATTTTACTTGTATTGACAATATGAAGAACTGATCAAATTTTCATAAAGACAGGTCTAGCGGTTTCGGAGATCTAGTAAAAAAGTAAAAAAAATGCCATCTGGCGGTCAAAAATGATCATTAGACATATGCACATCAAATTATCAGATATTTTATAGAGATTTTTTACAATAAGTATAAATTTTGTTTACATTCCTATGGGTTCCGTACCAATGTTTATCCGTTAGACTGCGACGCGGCGCTTACGCGCTTCGATATTTTGTATCTATGTAGTTAAAGCAGTACGATTACTTTAAAAAAAACTTCAAAATTTCCAAAATATTTCAAAATAAATGTTTCTTCAAAAAGTCTTTTTTTTCAGAAAGTAAATTTCTGTCAAAAATTTAAAGTTTCTCAAAAATCTTCTTTTTTCATCTTTTTTAAAAAAAATCATTTATTCTTAAGGCACGATGCCATACACCACTAATTTTCTATTTTTTTTTATAATACTTACCCTTGTCATCATGAATTCAGTGACACTCCAGTCCAAATAATGACTATCATTCAGAATAGTGACACAGATATCACCGTAGTAAGCTGGTAAAGTGTCGTAGGGCCAATAGTGATCACACTTCTCTCGTCCCTTCTCCACACATCTCGTCAACATAACAATGGCCCTTGAGTTACTCTCCCAGCACATCCTCCAGAAATCGTCTCTTGTTGAATGCAAGGGCCCTTGGGTTACTATGAACTCCCTTGGAGAATTATGACCCTGGAGAAAAAGAAGATGATACAAACAATCATTAGCATGATGTACTTATATACATAATAATAATAATAAATTGTTCCCTCTAGTTTACTATTACACTTATATGCATTTTCCATTTCTATACATACCGGTACATAATTAGCATTGATATAATCAGATCCTTCCTCGTCATCAACCGGTTGCAGTTTGAATCGTGAGTGATCATAAGGCAAGATGTTAGTGAACCTGTTCTTCGGTCGGTTGCAAGGTAGATCAGCAAAAGTACAGGGCTGTTCACGACCTACATGTTTCAATTCCTCAAATTCTTCACTGAACCTGAAAATTGTAGAAATAGATTATTGAATCGATTTAAATCAAAGAATCTTAATCTTATATATAAAAATGAATCGCAAAATGTGTTGGTAAGCGTATAACTCAACAACGCCTAGACCAATTTGACCAATTCTTTTTTTAAAATGTTCGTTGAAGTCCAATGATGGTTCTTACGGCGAGACAAAATCGAATAATTGCCGGGAAAACCCTAGAAACAGCCCTTTTCTTTTTCTCATACAAACGTTTTTTAACTAAAACGTAGAATCAATTTGAGCTTTATTGCTATTATATAAAGTTCATATTAAATTACAAGCACTCACTGTATACTACTTCTAAACGATTATGCGGATTTTGATAAATCTTTCTGAAGTTTGTTAAGGAAATTTTCTAGAATGTATGTGATTGTAAAGTACTGGGATGTATGTGCAATATTGTAGAAATAAATGGAAAAAAATCGCAAAAAACGACATGTCACTGTTTGCAAACAAATGAAAACTATTATCTGCCAAAAATTTCAATTTACTTATGAACCTAGACCATATTAGAATATGTATATTAAATTTATGATTATGAATAAGAAAAATGAAATGTCTACATTATTATTGCCGAAAAGCAGCTGAGACGTGCCAGAAATTAAAATAATATAAAATACAGTATATGTATGGCAGATTGAATAATACAAATATGAACAGGATATGACAAATTAATTCACTCAAAATATGAAATTAAGGGGGTATTCTAGTGTAGAATTTCAAAGAAATCGATTTTTGTTTTATTTCATATTTTCAAAGTTTAACTATCTAAGAATATGGGTACGAAAAGGTTTTTGAAAATTTGAATCATTTTCGGGGATATAAGGCATTTTACTGACTCGGTCTCCTTACTGGTTTGGCTTCACGCAAAACTTTTAATGAGTTTTCAGTACTGTTGACACGATTTCTCGAGTTTTAATCGACCGATTCACTTGAAATGTTCAGAGAGTCTTGTTTATAGACCTGTCTATAGCCCGAACTAGGATTATCCCCAAATTCTAATTTTTACTATTTTTAAAAAAATTCGAGAAACTCAAAAAACAGTAAAAAAACACTTTTTTTTTTAAGAGTCGCCAATTTGTAAAAAAAAATCTTTTTACTCATCGCTAGTTCGGGCGATTGCGACATCATTACAGATTAATAATCTTTTTATTTTTTGCATTTCCGATGGCTAGGAGGGCTGAAATTATATCAAGACTGAGGTGCCAATTTTTTGAGACAACCCACTTCATCAGCTGCCAGTTTTTATAATTTTCAATTTTTTTATTTGTTTTGTATTTTAATAGTATTAATAAACAAGTGGTAAAAAATGGATAGTAAAAACATTCATTGCTTTCTTTTACGACATTTCAAAAATGACCTAAAATTCATCGCTCTACACTAGAATACCCCCTTAAGTATTAATCAGGACCGGTCCTACTTTTAATGCGACGCATGCGAAAAATACGAGCGCACGCCTTAGGGGGCGCCAACACAAGATTCGGATATTAAATTTTTAATATAGTTTTTTTTCAATATATAATTTCTTTGCATCTTTAACTAATCTTTCCACAATATTTTTAAAATTCGTAAAATTTTCACTTTAAAACAACAAATGTGAAAGAGAAGATGAATAAATACAATACCACCCTCACGATATCAATTAGGAGAAATTTAAGATGCAATTTTGGATTACTTAAATAATAAAAAATTAATTTAATTTTAATCCAACATAAAGTACCAGTGTTATGTCATGGTTATGGTTATGTTACACCGTTTAAAAGACTTCAATTTCCAATATAGTGTGGGAATTGAGACTCATGAGCAGTTCTACATTTAACATCGCTCATGTTATAAATGTATATGCATTTTGGCGCGAAGAGTAATTTAAAAAACAATAATTATTATTTTTAGATAAACGGTGAATATTAGTATATTTCATTATATTAAAATTGTAGACATGGGTACAGAACAACGTCTGTCGGGTCATCTAGTACCAAATAAAGGAATATTAAAGTATGAAATAAAGGATAATTCTCCTTCCTACCTGAAATCGCTGTCGGCCGACATGATCCTGTAGTGTTCGGCAAAGTTTTCAATCCTGACAGGTCTGGTGGTGTCTGCGACGCTGTCAGGCAAAGACATGGCGTCGCTATGTCTGGCCTCAGTCGCCTTTCTATTCGCATTCCTGCGCCTTCGAAGCACTATCACCGTCACCAGAAGCAGCAGGATGCATATCAGGGGAACAGTCACGCCCACTATTATTGGGGTGTTGTCTTGATCTGGAGGAAAAAAGATCTTATATATCTTATATATAAAATTCTTCTGTACGGGTGTATGATTTGATACTTCTCCTAAACGGTTATTCGGATTTTGGTAATTCTTTTTAAAGTTTGTCAAAGGAAGTTTTTAAGATTTAATAAACGATAAAACTTTTAGTAAATAAATGGCAAAAATTATAAAAATCCATTTATCATTGTTTGACATTGAAAACATTTGAGCTGAACTAAAAATATCAATACACTTAAAGTTTGAATTTAGGTGAAATTATGAGCCTAGATAATATTAGCATATAATATACAAGAAAAAGTAATGTCTACATTATTATTGCCGAAAAGCAGCTGAGATATGCTAAAAATTATATATATATATATATATATATATATATATATATTGAAATATGTGAGTTTGATGTTGATATATATTTTGATAAGTTATTTAGAATCGGGCAGTAACACCAGTAAAGAAAAAACTAAAGTAGTTTTGAAATACTTTATTTATCCATACGTTTCGGTCTTCATCGAGACCGTCATTCAGTGGAAAAAAGAATTTCAGTTTTTAGACGTTAGTCAATCTGTACACACTAGAATGTAACCAAAAATTGTCAAAAATAATTAATTTAAATGTTCCAGTTATTAATAGCTTGGTTTATCACAGTGTAATAGTGTAGTGTATTTTTGTATAATTAATTTCTGTAAGTACTTATATATAAGTTCTATAACTTTATATTATTTTCCTCCTGCATCATATAAAATCTTTTAGTTTTTCCACTGAATGACGGTCTCGATGAAGACCGAAACGTATGGATAAATAAAGTATTTCAAAACTATTTTAGTTTTTTTTTACTTGGTGTTACTGCCCAAGATTCTAAATAACTCATCTAAATATATATATATATATATATATATATATATATATATATATTTTTATCATTAATCCTTTCTTAAAAAATTTTTCCATAACTTTCAAAAAATTTCTATCATTTTTAATATCCTGTTCTAATAATCCACTCATTTATTTTTATCATTTTCATTTTGATCATATTATCATATTTCTGTACATTATTATTTGTTACAATTAATTTATTATTTAAGAAAAATCTATTTTCTTAATATTCTTAAACATATTGTTTGCTTAAATCTTATCAAGATCATGTTTCTTGACAGATGTCCTGAAGATGGAACGTACCTAGTTCCGAAACGTTGACAGTAAACAAATAATTAAATAAAGAAATTGTTTATTAAAAACTTTTCTTGTTTTTTTATTTTGTATTATTTTTGGATTCTTGTTCGAAACTCTACAAAAAATATATATATATATATATATATATATTAGGGTGGTCCTTAATATGGACATTTTCGAATTTCCTTGCTCCCAAGAGCTAAAATAGTTTCAAATTGATAAAAAACAATTCTCTGAAAGTTTTAGCTCTTAATATTGTCTTTTAGATAGAGCGCAATTCAATCAAAGTTTTGTATGGAAATAGCATGAAAAAATTTTCAAACATTTTGCAGAGCGTCGAATTTTCAATAAAAAATGACACAAATTTTCACTTTGAATTCATTTGTCGCTAAGTTATACCTAAATAAATTTTTTTTTGAATTTTCAAATTTTTTTCCATGCTATTTCCGAAATAAATTTAATTGAATTGCGCACTATCTAAAACGTTAATATTAAGAGCTAAAACTTTCAGAGAATTGTTTTTTATCAATTTGGAACCATTTGAGCCCCTGGGAGCAAAGAAATTCGAAAATGACCATTTTAAGGACCACCCTAGTATATATATATATATATATATATATATATATATACAAATTACTATATTTTTCCTACCCATGCTAACAATTTTCACCACACATATTTTTTTACTACATTACAAAGCAGTTTGCATTTTATACATTTCCTAACAACTAAATAATTTTACATCGATCTTCTCGAAAAACGCGAACACCTATTTTATATTTAGTAAAAGATAAGATTACACTATAAAACATATGATTTTATTCTCAAGATAAGATAAGCGAAGAAAAAAAAAATTTAGTATTAGATTTCAAACAGAAACTATCTATCTGTATCAATATATAATGTACAAAATAGTGTACGAACCGTTTATTAACGCTTATCAAAAGTTTCAATTAGATTAAATAATTTTATAAAATAAATGTTATTAATATTGTGAAAAAATGTGACTTTTGATAACAAAACTGTTAGGGCCTTGATTAAGAAATGGTGAAAATAATAATAAGAGTTGGTTTTGATTAATTAATCATATAAGTACTTTGATTAATCAATCATACAGGTAACTAATTCTGTTTTTTCTTAATATCCTTTTTTCTTAAAAAACTTGCTAATCCACTCACTTATTTTTATTATTTTCATTTGGATTATATTGCCATATTTTTGTAATATGTATTATCTCTTTCACAATCTTATTCATTGTTTCAAAAAACCACAATTGTCTGTTTTTCTTAAATATATTGTTTGCTTAAATCTTATCAAGATCATGTTTCTTGACAGATGTCCTGAAGATGGAACGTACCTAGTTTCGAAACGTCGATAGTAAATAAATAAAGTGTTTTTTTAAAAACCTTTTGTTTTTTAGTACTTATTGGATTTTTTTGTTCGAAGGTCTACAGAATATATAATTAAAAATTAATTTTCACTTCTTTGTTCGTACGTTTCGACACTTGATGCATGTCATTCAGTAAATTTAAAGTATAAAAATTTGTTTTAAACAATAAATATAATTTTAAATAAATATGTTAAAATTTATATACAAAAACAAAATTTATATTTAAAGTAAATAAAATATATATACCAACAAACCAAGAAAAAGCAAAAAATTAGATTTGAAAAAAGAAAAATTCAAAAAATAATATATTTGATTAATAATTTATAATTTAAAGAATTATCAACAAATCTAAAGTCACAATTTCTTCCCATAAGTAAAAAAATTGTTTGATTAAAAAAAAATCTATATATTTTAAATTATTTATTCTAACACTTTTTAAAAAATCCTGTTCTTTGTTTAAACAAATTTTTGTAATTTAGATTTACTGTATAATGACACATATCAAGTGTCGAAACGTAAACAAAAAAAGTGAAAATTATTTCAGCATTTTCATTTTATTTTTGAAATAACTTAGTAGTGAAGCTAAATTTGATCTTACACACACATCCTTCTAAAAAAATTCAGAATGACATACAATTAGCACGTCAGATTAAACTAGTCGACTGAAATCTTCGAGTAGTTAAAAAACTAATGTTACTACTACAACAACAAACTTTAACCACTCACCGACTGAAGGCAATCCTATTCATTTATTGAAAGCCATGTAAAAATCGAATAAAGATTTGTGTACTATATAAAAATGTTTGAAAATTTAGCACAAGTATAAATTTTATTTCCCACGTACCTGTTTGAATTCTGAAACTGTAATGAGTATCCGTAAACTTATCTCGGGCTGTAAAAGCTCTCACTTTAACACTATAAGTAGCCCCTGCTTTAAGCGGGCCATTGCAATAACCCGAACTCTTCTTTTTAGACTCACAGTCTTCTGTACCGATTGTAAAATCTTCCACTGATGCATTCTTAAAGGGGTAATAAGGATAACCTAAAGAGGTAAAAGATACACATTATAATAATTTCTAATTATAATTTGATTTTAATTTTTTATTATACTTACTGCTTGATATGGGTAGCCACACTCTCAATCCTTGCACGTCTCTCCGCTCAACATTTCTAAGCCTGATGAGGTTTGTATCGTCTTCTGCTACTAATGATGGTATATAGGATGTTATAGCACCATTCTTTTCTGAGAAGTAGTTTTTTCCTAAACCTGATTCGAATGTTGTCGAACTCTTACACACCTCTGTAGGAACCTAAATAGAAATATATATATATATATATATAATAAACAGAAATTAATATATATATATATATATATATAAATATATATAGGTGTGTGTGTGTCGCTTAAAGTCTTACCACTTGAGAATTGGGTTGAGGAGGTGCCAAAATGGGCATCTGCAACTTCCAGATTGATTCTGGACCATATCCAACTCTGGTCTCAGCTCAGCTCTGATTTTAAACACATACGTTTTACCAGGAACCAAATCTCGTATCACACCCTGAAATAAAAATAAAATTCTAAGAACAAATATTTTTAATATATTTTTCTCCAACTAAAATGTTAAAATCATCTGGAGCAGAAAGATTTATGCATTAAAAACTTTCTTCATCATCGTAAAAGACAAATTTATATTTCAGCTCTGATTTTAACACATACGTTTTACCAGGAACCAAATCTCGTATCACACCCTGAAATAAAAATAAAATTCTAAGAACAATATTTTTAATATATTTTCTCCAAACTAAAAATTTTAAAATCATCTGGAGCAGAAGATTTATGCATTAAAAACTTTCTTCATCATCGTAAAGACAAATTTATATTGAACTATATCAGATGGTTCGATACACATTAGTCTAGTAAATATAGCATTCTAGGTCCTCCCTCCATACAGATTTAAATTTGATCGGGCATAAAAATCAACGTACTCGACATAATTTTGGATTTTCGACATAAATCTAGATCAGATTGTTTTATGCATACTAGTGCATAACATTCTAGATACTCCCCCCTTAAAGATAAAGCACAAAAATTAACGTACTCAACATAAATCTGGATATCAAATGATACTTATACACTCTAGGTGCATAAATATAGCATGCTAGATCCTCCCCCCATAAAGGGGAATCATAATTGAACCCAAAAATCAATACTCCACATAATTGTAGATATCAGATGGTTCTATACACACTAATACAAAACATAGCATTTTAGAATTTATGAAAATTTAAATTCAATCGAGCATAAAAATCAATTTACTGGACATAAATCTGGACATCAGATGGCTCTATACACATTAGTGTAAAAATATAGTATTCTAGATCCTCCCCCCACAAAAATTTAAATTTCATTGAGCATAAAAATCAACGTACTCGACATAATTTTGGATATCGGATGGTTCAATATAAACTAGTGCAAAAATATAGCATTTAGATCCTCCCCCCACAAAAATTTTAAATTTACCTAGCACAAAATTAACGGGCTCGACATAATTTTGGATATCGGATGGTTCTATACATACTAGTGCGAAAATATAGCATTCTAGATCCTCCCCCAACAAAAGTTTAAATTTGGTTGAGCATAAAAATCAACGTACTCGACATATTTTGGATATCGGATGGTTCTGTACTGTACATCAGTGCAAAAATATAGCATTCTATATTTTCCCCCATAAAAATTTAAATTTGATCGAGCACAAAAATCAATGTACTGGACATAAATCTGGACATCAGATGGCTCTATACACAACTAGTGTGTAAATATAGCATTCTAGATCCTCCCCCCATTAAAAATTAAATTTGATCGAGCACAAAATCAACGATTTTGACATAATCTGACGATTATATACACACTAGAACATTCTAGATCCTCCCCCTAATAAAGTAATTTCAAACAGCTGCTTACATGTTGACAAGAGGACGTTCATTAATCACGAGAGGTTTTTTAGGGGGAGGGGGGGGGGTGTGTTTGACAAAAAATCACGAAATGTCACGTGGAGGAGGGAGGGGGGTATAGTAAGATATCACGTGTATTTATTTTTTAACTGATTTCTTCAAAAAATCGAACATTTTCAAAGAAAATTCAAAAAATTTACAGCTTTATCACGTAACTAAAAGTACACGCGATGTTTGGTTGACAAGGGGGCGTCCATTAATCACGAAAGGTTTTTTAGAGGGAGGGGAGGTTTGACAAAAAATCACGAAATGTCACGTGGGGGAAGGAGGGGAGGTATAGTAAGATATCACGTGTATTTTTTAACTGATTTCTTCAAAAAAATCGAACATTTTCAAAGAAAAATTCAAAAATATTTACAGTTTGATCACGTAACTAAAATACACGCGATGTTTGGTAGACAAGGGGACGTCCATTAATCACGTGAGGTTTTTAGGGGGAGGGGGGTTTGACAATAAATCCCGAAACATCACGTGGGGGAGGGAGGAGTATAGTAAAGATATCAAGTGTATTTATTTTTTAACTGATTTCTTTAAAAAATAGAACATTTGCAAAGAAAAATTCAAAAAAATTACAGTTTTATCACGTAACTAAAAATACACGTGGTTAATGGACGCCTCCTCAAGGAACAAGAGAAGTGCGGAGGTTTCGGTCGGTGTTATTATTGTTGAGTCCGACATACCCATACAAAAGACTTAAGTCTGGTACGCATATAAGCATTTCCTTCCCTATACAAAAATAAAACACAAGTGTATTATCTCCTTATCCCTTACCTGTGTCTCCTGCGGATCGAAATCAGTCCTATTAACAGCATTTCCATCAGGATGGTTCTCCTCTCCGTAAGTTATGGTGAATCTCTTCAGCACACCGTTCTTGTCCTGCTCGCCAGGTACCATTCGAAGGCGACTTCGTTCGGCCTGATGTCGGTCGGTGCGAAACGTTCGACGCGCTCCGGAGTCGATTCTAAAGTCCGAACGAGGCGGAGACCGGGAGACTTGAACGCAGCACCGTAGAGTGGTTGCCGGAACGGACTACTACGGTGAATGTGTAGTTCCTGGGAAAGGAAAGATATGATATTATTTTCTAAGATATTATATTATTATCTTTTTTATTATTATTATTTTATTGGCTTTATATTATATTATTATCTTATTATTTCTAATATTGTTATTTTGTTATATTTATTATTATTTGTCACTTATTGGTTTTTATTCTACTTTATTGTTTTGCTAGTATTATTTTTGTTAGAATACAAAATTATATCGAATACGGACCTGGTGAAGAAAGAAAGAAGTTTAATAAAATTATCCTATTTCGACTGCCTACCCGAAGGAATAATCTTCTATATATATAAAAATAAGTCGGGTTTTCCTTCCCGACGAAATAACTCCAGAACGCACGAACCGATTTCGACAATTTTGCATTCGTTGGAAAGGCTCCGCAAGGTTTATAGCTAAGAAAATTAGTGGTGCATGGCATCGTGCCCTAATGCAAATTGCCGGAACTTCACGCACCGTAATTAATAATTCGAGTAATGACATTAGTGAGAATTATCAGAATTATGCTTGGTCAAGTCAACGAGCAATTCTTGCCGCCAAGAATAATGATATACACGCACTGCTCAAATATTATGTACATTTTCTAAATAATAAATATAATAATAAATATAATCACTGAATTTCACCATTTAATCAAAAATTGTTGGCGATTTGGTGACATACCAATGATTCCGACTGGTCTTCCGTTTGACTTCAAACGATTGCAATTTCCCGTTCGCCTTGCGTTCGCAATAACAAGTCGCAAGGCCAAACGCTTTAGTGTTTGCGGGATAAATTTCAAATAGATTATTTAGAAAATCATTGTTAACGTCAGACCAGAAAAACAAAAAATATGGTTTACCAAAGAGCACTTCAATGAAACGGATAATTTGCGGATTCACATTCATTTACTTATAATTAGAGAAGTTCAACTAAAAAACACTTCATTTTTGTAATCGAAATAAATTTATTACTGTTGTGCAATAAAATCAAATTTTTCCTTTCCAAATATAAAACAAACAAAAAATTTCTTCATCTTTCTCACGAAACCATCTGGTGGCGAAACGGAGTTCGTCGGGTTTGCTAGTAAGATATAATAAAGATAAAATTATAATTAGTTATTAATTTATTAATAATTAGTAATTAAATAATTAATTTTAGATATAATTAAAATTATTTTGTAAGAAACATATTTTCATGCTTTATTTCTTTTCTGATACTGTCCTTCAATATTTGAGATCATTTTCAAGATTTGAAATTTAAAGATTTTACGCCACAGATGTTTAAAGGATTTTATTTTAATTTCAGAGTGATTTTACCATCAGAAGAATCACAGTTCTCCTTCGAGAAGTGAATAATGTGAAAAAAAACAAAAATTGTAAAAATGCAAATAAACAATGAAACTAAACAAAACAAATATTAAATAAATATCAATGATAATATTAATGATTATAATGACATATATTTTCATGAGTTGTATAATAGAGTTGGAATATAAAAGTTTATATTTGAAGTAAAGTAAAAAAATGTCCTAAATCCATCGAAATACTAAAGTTCGATTTTCAACTAAGAATTATTTAAAATTTCAATATCCAAATGTATAAAACAGTTTTTACTAAATTTTACAAAATTATCTAGTTTTTACAAATGTAAACAAATTAGAAAGTCCCAAAAGAAAATTAGAAGTTATTTGAAGAAAACTGAAAAAACATCCTAAATCCACATATTGCTAATGATCAAAATACTAAAGTCCGCATTTCAACTACGAATTATTCAAAATTTCAATATCAATGTGTATAAAACAGTTTTTACTAGATTTTAGTAAACTTTATCTAGTTTCTAGTAATGTAAACAAATTATAAAGTGCGAGCAGAAAATTAAAAGTTATTTGAAGAAAACTGAAAAAATGTCCTCAATTCACGTATTACACATTATCAAAATACTAAAGTACGCGTTTCAAATACGAATTATTCAAAATTTCAATATCCAGGTGTACATAACTAGTTCTAATAGATTTTAGTAAATTTTATCTAGTTTTTACTAATGTAAACAATTTATAATATCCGGGAAAAAAGTTAAAAGTTATTTGAAGTAAAGTGAAAAAATGTCCTCAATTCACGTATTACACATTATCAAAATACCAAAGTCTGCGTTTCAACTACGAATTATTCAAAATTTCAATATCCAAGTGTATAAAACAGCTATTACTAGATTTTTGTAAATTTTATCTAGTTTTTACTGATGTATATAACACAAACTGACCTGGAACAAATTTCTAAGGTATTCCAAAAAATGTAAAAAAATGTCCAATTGCTAAATATAATGTTAGAAAATAAATGTTCCAACAAGTTTTAATCAAAATTTCATTATGTAAGTGTATATAACAGTTGTCACTAAATTTAGTGAAATTTATCTAGTTTTTACTAATGTATACAAATTATAATGTCCGAAAAGAAAATTAAAAGTTATTTGAAGAAAACTGAAAAATATCCTAAATCCACATACATAATGAATTGCACATTATCAAAATACTAAAGTACGCGTTTCAACTACGATTTATTCAAAATTTGAATATCCAAGTATATAACAGCCTTCACAAATTTTAGTAAATTTTATCTAGTTTTTACTAATATATACAAATTATAAGGTCCAAAAAGAAAATTTAAGTCGTTTCAAAAAATGTAAAAAAATGTCCTATTTCACATTAATTAAACAAAAAACTAACTTTAAAATTGCTCACCTGTAAGGTTTCAAATTATCAATAGTAATATTCTCTTTTCAGTAATCGTCTGCAACAAAGACGAATCAGCATTCAAATACTGCACTTCAAAAACATCGTACTCCCCTTTGGGAGCATCCCATTGCAGAGTGATCTCATGTGCTGATATTTTGGTCGCGTTTATACCAGTAATAGGCTCAGGATCTAAACAACAAAACATTTTAATCAATTATCCTTTAATGTTCCAAGGCTATCTACGCGTTCACAATTATTTTTCAATTATCCTACTCCTAAATCTAATTCTCTTTTAAATTCGCCTATTTTACTTATGTCCTCTAACTTTAACTTAATTAATAATGAAATAGATTTTCACAACACTTCACCTAATCAAATAATCTCCATCTATGCAAAAGTTAACCTTTTTATTTTCTTTTCAAATATCCCATTGTTTTATCTTATCCTGTTTATAAATAATATTGTTACATTCTGCATTATATGTAATTTTATGTTAAGCATTTTATGTTAATAACTATATATTGTAATTTTGTATATATTTTAATTGTTATTCATTATGTAAAATAATTGTATTTTTGAGTCCTCTTGGAAGAAATCTGTGGGCTATATATTTAAAATAAATAAATACATAAATAAAACAAATAAATAAACTAGCTGTAAGTGGAATTCTGTCTTAAGGCAATTAAGGCATCGTGCCTTAAGGCAAATTGCTGAAACTTCTCGTACCAAATATTATTATTTTTTTAAAAACGATTAACATTCTTGAAAAAATTTTACTTCAAAAAAATAAGATATTTGAGAAACTATAAATTAGACAAAAAATTACTTTTTTTGAAAAAAAAAATTAAAAAAAAAACTTTGCCTGCCTTCATGAAAATTTGATCAGTTTTTCACCTTGTCAATACAAGTAAAATGTTTTTTGAATTAATAAAATCAGACGCTCCGTTCTCTTAAAAATGGAGGTACCGTTTTTGGCACTTTTTGCCCCGTATCTTCGGAACGGCTAGACCTGCCTTCGCCAAAAACTAATCAGCACGTCTCCTTATTAATACGAATCGAATGTTTTTTAAATTATTCAAATCGGTTGATCCGTGTTCCCGAAATCGTCGACGAAAATTTGTAGCCGCACATACATACACACACGTACATACATACATACATACATACATACATACACACACACACACATACATCCATTTTTTCTAAGGTATGCCAAAATATTCAGAAACTTCTGAAACGTAAAGGTATATAAAAATTTTCATTTTCGATTTTTTTGCGATTACTATAACTTGCCCTACGGGAAGTTAATAAATAACCACAAACTAGCCACAAAAACCACAAAATAATAATCTATTATTATTATTATTATTGTTATTTCTACTTACATATTCGATCCTGTCGTTTCAAAGGTTGGCTCAGAACTCCATCGCTCACAGTCCACACTGTGATATCATATAGTTTTCCTGGTGTGAGTCCAGTGAATTTAACACGTCTCTCTTCATCATCTGCAGATTTTTCTTGGACCAATTCTCTGCCCAAAGCAAATCTATAGGCATCGAATCTTGAACTCTGTTGAGGTGTTGGAGTGTAGCGTAAGGTTAGACTGTCTCTGGACACCTGGTCGTTGATGACCACCAGTTCGGACTGGATTAGAGGCACTGAGAAAAAATAAATAATGCATAATAGATAGTTTTCTAAGGCAACTTGCAAAAAGGGGAAATATACAGAGACAGAGCGAGATTTGTCTGACAATGAGATAGTTGTAAAATTATTGAAACGGTTGTAGGTTGTCTAAAATTGTAGTGGGTTCTCTGAATTTGTAGTGGGTTGTTTGAATTTGTAGCAAGTTGTCTGAATTTGTAGTGAGTCGTCTGAAATTGCTGTGAGTTGTCTGAATTTATAGTGAGTTGTCTGAAATTGTAGTGAGCTATCGTCTGAAATTGTAGTGAGCTATCGTCTGAAATTGTTTTGAGTTGTCTAAAATTTTAATGAGTTGTCTGAAATTGTAGTGAGTTGTCTGAAAGCATTGTAAGTTGTCTCAAAGTGTTGTATATAGTCTTAAAGTGTTGTATCTAGTCTGAAATTGTTGTATCTGGTTTGGAAAGTGTTGCAAGTTATCTAAAAATGTTGTAGATTGTCTGAAATTGCATTGAGTTGTCGTCTGAAATGGTTGTGGATTGTCTGAAATTTTAATGAGTTGTCTTAAATTTTAATGATTTGAGTTGTCTGCATGCGTTGTAAGTTGTCTGAAAGTGTTGTATAAGGTCTTAATATGTTGTAAGTTGTCTAAAAGGGTTATAAGTTGTCCAAAAGTTGTAAGTTATCTGAAAGTGTTGTATCTGGTCTTAAAGTGTTGTATCTGGTCTGAAAATGTTGTATTTGGTTTGAAAAATGCTGTAAGTTGTCTGAAAGTGTTGTAAGTTATCTAAAAATATTGTAAATTGTCTGAAATTGTTGTGAGTTGTCTGAAATTTTCATGATTTGTCTGAAATTTTAATGAGTTGTCTGAAATTTTAATGATTTGTCTGAAATTTTAATGATTTGTCTGAAATTTTAATGATTTGTCTGAAATTTTAATGATTTGTCTGAAATTTTAATGAGTTGTCTGAAATTTTAATGAGTTGTCTAAACGTGTTGTAAGTTTTCTGAAAATGTTGTAAGTTTTATGAAAATGTTGTGTGTTTTCTCTAATAGTTGTAAGTTTTCTGAAATCGTTGTGAAATGTATAAAAGTGTTGTGAACGTTGTTGGGTTGTGAGTCGTCTAAAAGTCTTGTAAGTTGTCTAAAAGTCTTGTAAGTTGTATAAAAGTGTTCTAAGTTATCCAAAAGTGTTCTAAGTTGTCCAAAAGTGTTCTAAGTTGTCCAAAAGTGTTGTAATCTATCTGAAAGTGTTGTATCTGGTCTTAAAGTGTTGAATTTGGAATAAAAATTTTGTATCTGCTTTGAAAAGTTTTGTAAATTGTCTGAAAATGATGTGAATTGCCCGAACAAGTTGTAAGTCCTCCAAAAACGTTGTAAAATGTCTAAAAATGTTGTAAATTGTCTGAACAAGTTGCAAGTTCTCTAAAAACGTTGTAAAATGTCTAAAAATGTTGTAAATTTTCTGAACAGGTTGTAAATTCTCTAAAAACGTTGTGAAATGTCTAAAAATGTTGTAAACTTTCTGAACAAGTTGTAAATTCTCTAAAAACGTTGTAAAATGTCTAAAAATGTTGTAAATTGTCTGAACAAGTTGTAAGTTCTCTAAAAACGTTGTAAATGGTCTAAAAATGTTCCATATCATCTAGAAATATTGTAAATTGTCTGCAAATGCTAAAAATCGTCTGTAAATATTGAAGATTGACCAAAAATATAATTTCATAATGAATTCAGTCAAAAAAACTAGAGGACATCTTCTTTAAAAAATTAATCAAATTTCAAAAAAAAAAACAATGCAAAGCAAAGTAACAGTTTTAATATTTAAATGTAAATTCTTAAAATTTTTAAATGTAAATTTTTAAAAATGTAAATTCTTGAACTCTTCATTATGAAAATGTAATTTCATAATGAATTCAGTAAAAAAAACTAGAGGAAAACTTCCAAAATTAAAAAACAACCAGAAAAACAAATGCAAAGCAAAATAACAGCTTTGAAATTTAAATGTAAATTCTAATAACAATAACTTATCAAATTAATAAGGAATTGCACAATGTTAGTTAATTTTCATTCCTAAAGCAACACGCACACTGCCAAAATAGCAAACCTGATAATCGTATACAAACCCAAATAACAACATATGTCTACATTTGTATCTGCAATTAAAATTATAAAGTGATAAAATACTCAAATAGCTACAAGACTGCTTTCGTGTACATAATATTTGTTTTAATGTATTTAATGGGGTTTTAAGTGATTGATTAAAATTATTCATTGTTTAAAAGTCTGTAAATAAAGGTTAGTTCCAGATATTATTTTTTATATAGCTTAACAGAAACTAAAAAAAAATACTACAAGTGTATGCAAATTGTCTTATATACTCTGATACAAAAATTTGAAATATAATTTTAAACTAGTCCTTATCTAAAATGTAAGTTTTTATTACATGGATTCAGGATACTTTTATCAATAGATTAATTTACTTACTTGTTCTAGTAACGAGTTCTGTTTTATCGCTGTTCAAACCATAAGATGTTGTGTAAATCTCAAATTTATATTCCACTCCTGGTTTCAAATCCCCGATTAAAATCCTTACAGGTTTGTTCTCATCAAAATTATCATTCATCATTGCTGAAAAGGTGCTGCTGTTTGAAGAAGAAGAAGTCATTGCTGGATTTTGAATACCTAAAAGAAATAATCATTGAGTAATTATATTGTGAAAACTAAATTAATCACATCACAACAAATAATAAGTATCTAACAAACAACCGTCTAACTATGTTCAGGAAACTTTCCAGATAATGATAGTAAAAATATGTTTATTTGATTTTTTTCTAAAATTTGTCACCTCATCTATGCATGCAAGCTTGTTTTTGAAATAATGGTAGTAATTTGCTCTTTCCTTCATATTTCTCTTAGTTCATTTTTTATTAGTTTACCTGAATGTGAATTAGCAAACAATCTATCAGTAATAGCACCAGAACCAGTCGAATACATATTCATCAAAGATTGTTCTGAGATATTCTTCTTCTGGATCTGACTAGGATCTTCCGTAGGCCACCAGCTGATAACATAGTTCTCAATTCTTCCTTCCGGTCTGGGATATTCCAGTGTTATGTTGTTAGAATCCGTTATGGGAGTTATGTTTTCGATTTGATTAGGACCTAAAAAGTAAAAGGCATATATTAAAAATAATTTATAATATAAAATTTGATGGAATTGATAGAAATTTGTACTTACGGACTGTGTGGTTGGCTTGTTGTGGACTAGAACTCTCGACACCATAGCTGACAGTGTTCACTTGAATCGTATATTTTTCACCAGGAGTCATATCTGTTATTTCAGCCTCAGTTACCTGTAAAAATATCGACGTCAGTGAAAAATTATATTTTCAAATAGTAGTAATTGCCAAATATCGACAAAAATATGTATGTGAATGTGTGTGTGTGTGTGTGAGGTAATAATAATAATAATAGTAATAATCAAATTTTATATATTTATTAACAGCCGGCAAATATTATTTTGTCTCTAAATAATCGAGTCAATGAAGAAGAAAAATAAAAATCACCATTTTAAGAAAAATATTAGGGATTTTTCAAAAACCACTTTCAAAATAACAAATTTTCGATTGCAATTGCTTTGAAAAAAATTTAAGATTTCCAATATATTTCAAAATAAAGAAAACATTTTCTTTCAAAAAGACTATTTTTTCCAAAAATCCACTTTTTTCAAAGCTTAAAGAAGAATTTTAATTTAAAAAAAAAAAAAAAATTTTGTACGGAAGGTTCCAGCAATTTGCCTTCAGACACGATGCCATACACCACTAGTTAACTTCCCGTAGGGCAAGTTATAGTAATCGCTAAAAAATCGAAAATGAAATTTTTTATATATCTTTACGTTTCAAAAACTTCTGAACACTTTGGCATACCTTAGAAAAAATGGATGTATGTGTGTGTGTATATGTGTGTGTGTATATGTGTGTGTGTATGTGCGTGTGTGTATGTGTGTTCGGATACAAATTTTTGTCGACGATTTCGGGAACACTGATGAAGCGTTTTGAATAATTTAAAAAACATTCGATTCGTATTGATAAGGAGACGTGCTGATTAGTTTTTGGCAGAGGCAGGTCTAGCCGTTCCGAAGATACGGGGCAAAAAGTGCCAAAAACGGTAACTCAGTTTTTAAGAGAACGGAGCGTCCGATATGAATAATTCAAAAAACATTTTATTTGTATTAACTAAATGAAGAACTGTTTAAATTTTTGGAAAGGAAGGTGCAACGACTTCGGAGATATGGAGGAAAAAGTAAAAAAATGAGTTTCTCAGAAATTTAATTTTTTCAGAGTAATTTTTTTTCAAAAATGTTAATCTTTAAAAAAAAAAAATTTTTGGTACGGAAAGATCCAGCAATTTGCCTTTTAAGGCACAATTAGTTTGTATCCGCACACACACATACATACACAAATGCACATACACACACACACATACATATTTTCTAAGGTATACCAAAATGTTCAGAAACCTTTGAAACGTAAATTTATATAAAAATTTTCATTTTCGATTTTTTGCGATTACTATAACTTACTTACTTATAAAAAATTGACGAGTGCTGTGTGAATGTGAGTGTTTTATTTTGTGTAAGTGAGTGTGTGTGTGTGTATGTGCGGATACAATCTTTCGTCGACGATTTCGGGAGAACGGATCAACCGATTTGAATGATTCAAAAAATATTTAAACGTACGTACTGTTTATTATTAATTATTTATATTATTCTTCAAATTACCTTCACAGCCGACAGTCGCACCCACTGTTTATCAGATTCTGTACGATATCTGATGGCATATTCAGAAAATGTAGAATCTTCAGGCTCCGTCCAATGTACCAGCACGGAATTGCTTTGGACTTTCTGCACGCTCATATTTTGTGGAGGATTTGGATCTAAAATTGAAGAAAAACATGAAAAATACTAATTACTTAATTAATCAAGATTACTAATACTTTTTTATTATTTAGTACTTACAAACTGCTTGGAAATAATCGTGTGGTTCACTTTTCAATCCATGACTTATGGCAAAAACTCTGACTTCATAACCAGCACCAGGATGTAAATCTCTGATCACTAAATTGGAATCTGTACTGATCTGCTTGTGGACATCGTTTGTATCATTCCTGAATCAATATAACATAATCAATAAACCAAATATTAAACAACAATGAATATAATTTTGTTATGTGTAATAGATTTATATACCTTCTGTACATAATTTCATAGTTCTCTTGTCTCGAATTAACATCAGACTTCCAGCTAATGTTGAGACCATTCTTGATGGGTCTGAGATCTTCGATAATTGGTGAGGACGGTCTGGTAGCTATGTATAATACTGTTTCATTTGATTCCATATCTTTAGAGACTGCCTAGAATAATAAAAAACAATTTAAAGAATCTCTATTGTGGAATGCAGTAGGAGATCATATATTTAAATATATATATATATATATATATATATATATATAATTTCTTTCTCCTTACCTGTACGGTTATAGAATAATTCCTCCCAGGCAAAAGACTCTCCAGCATAACACTCGTGTTGTTGCTCAGAATGGTGTTACTATCACCATTGTAGGTTTCGACTTCATGATAAGATATTTTGAAATTATCCTGCTTGCTCGTGTTCTGTGCTGACCAGGATATCGAAATGATTCCTGTTCTGTCGTTTGTGTCTGTACGAAGATCTTTCACAGGGAGAGGTTCTGGGTAAAAGATAAAATACAAATTGTACTTGTTAATAAAGGAAATTAATAATAAAAAACACATTCACTTGTTAATTAGGTAACTTTTTCAAAATTTGTTGCACAAACTTTTTTCACAAACGAATTAAGTAGCAAATTAATTCAAATCCAATCAGCAATAACACAAGTCATTAATTGTTTTCAATTTTTTTAATGGTAATAATTTTAATTTTAATTCAGCAAACTGCAAACAAAAAAAAATCAATCAAACAACCAAACTACAAACATTTCCTCTAGTTTAATTAACTGAAAAAAAAAAAGACTTTCTCAACCGATTTACCAATTTTATTTAAATGTACAAAAGTTATTTATACTACAGCCAGCTCATCCCCAAGTTTTGGATATAAAAATAAATAAATTATAACAAATAAATAAATAATAAATTTTATCCAAGATATTGATGATTTTAAAATAATTCAATACGCCTGCCCTCCGATACAAAATAATGTGCACTTCAAAATAAAGTTTATGTTACATAATACAAAATATTTTAAATTAGGCCACTGCATAAAAAAGTTGCAACAGATAATTCCAATTGATAATTATAGCCCATAAATAAATAAACAAATTATTAACTTCGCGTAGGGTAACTTATAGTAATCGCAAAAAAACGAAAATAAATTTTTTTATATATTTTATATCTTGATTTGTAATTTTTAGTAAGGCAGGTCTAGAGGTTTCGGAGATCTAGTAAAAACAGTAAAAAAAAAACGCCATTTGGCGGTCGAAATTGATCATTATACATATGCACATCAAAATATAAGATGTTTTATGGAGATTTTAATAATATGTTAAGAATTTTAATAATATCAATTTTATTTACATTTTTATGGGTTCCGTAGAATAGATTATCCGATAGACATCGACGCGACGCTTAAGCGCTTCAATATTTCGTCTCTATGCAGTTAAAGAAGTGCCATTGCTTTGAAAAAAAGTTCAAAATTCCAAAATATTTCAAAATAATAAAAAAAAATTTAAAAGACAATTTACTAAAAAAAATTAAATTTCTCAAAAATATTTTTTTTTTTAAGTTTAAAAGAAAATTAATCTTTTTTAAAAAAAATAATTTTTGGTACGGCAAGTTCCAGCAATTTGATGCGGCGCTTTGCTACGCAGCTAAGGCGCGACTGTTTGAAAAAATGTTCAAAATTTCTAAAATATATCGAAATACTATTATAAGAAAAATCATGTTTTACAAAAATTCAAAATTCTCAAAAATCGATTTTTGTTTCAAGGTTTAAAAAAAATTGAATCTTTTTTTAAAAAATTAAATTTTTGGTACAAAAAGTTCCAGCAATTTTCCTTAAGGCACGATGCCATACACCACCAGTTCAATTAATAACTATTTAATTATATATTAAAATTTTATTAATATATTATTTATTTACAACTTACTCAGTGTGACTTCTCCTGTAGCAGGCCACGAAGTGACTTTACCAGAAACCGTTTTAACAACAACCTGATAATTCTGTCCAGGTTCCAAATGATCTCTAAATTCCCAAGAATTTTGATCCTCTCTATTCCTGGTCACTGGCTGGACACGTCTCAAAGACGCCAAGGATAACTGATACTTGTCAAATTCACTGAAAAAAAAAAATAATTGTATAATAAACTCAAATGAAACGTCGATGTTGTCTTAGCCATCTATTATTAACAACTATATTTTACATAATGATAAAGACGCTATATATAACGGTATGCTTTTACAAATAACCAAAATCTGGTAGGGAGCTTTTGACCCGCTATTTTGAGCCTTTAATTTTATTCTTTATTATTATGTAAAATATAGTTTCGTTTCGACGTTTCATTTGAATTTAATATACATTTTGGTCCTTCGAGCCGGATTTTGGTTATTTATAAAAGTACACCGTTAGATGGCGACATAGTTAATTATATTTTATCCAATAATGATCAATCAGTATTATTACAAAAAAATTAACTATATTATATTTTATTACCTGATTCCTTTAGGAGCCTCCCACAAAACTTTAAAAGAATGACTAGTAATTGAGTTTTTGTCGAATGTTATATTCAGAGGCCTCAAAGGAACGGTTCTGTATTGAGCAGTTGTCGGGGCACTGATTTCATCTTCTGACATCGTCTGAACTGATATGTTGTACGCTCGACCTTAAAACAGATAAAAACAATGTATTTAATTATATATAAATAATAATAATCATAGTAATATTTTTTGGTCCATGTTCTTACCAGGAACTAGTCCTTTGAATGCAGCTTGTGCAGGACCAGGAGGCTCTTCTTCCTTCTGGACGTATAGAATACTTTCTAAGGCATCCGGAGGTTCAATGGATACCTGTTAAATAAAGAAGATGATATATTGAGTATATATTTAAAAAAAAACTTGCTTAAAAATATTTTTTCAATTAAAGTGGTTTTACTTTATAATCGCTCATTGCCATTTTGATATCAGTGTATTAAAATTATGGCAGGGATATTGTGGCGGCAAAGTTTTTAGGAAGTCTGGCAGGTCAAATTACAATAAGGATCGTTATTGATCATGTTATAACATGTAAATTGGCTTAAACTCGCTTTGAATATTAAATTACCATTTTTATTTGAGCTCGTTTGCTATCAATTATTTTCTTCCATAACCAATGAGTTCTTAAAAGTGTAATTTGTAATATTTTATTCTATAATTACCAATTAATTGTTTATTACCTTATAATGTGTATAAACACCTGCAGGATAAGGTGGTTGCCACAGAACTAGCAGAGTCGTTTCATTTCTGAACCAGACGATAAACTTTCCTGGAGTATTTGGTTCTATAAAAACAAATAATTTAAATATATTATATTATATATATATATATATCTTGATATATATATATATATATATATATATATATATATAAATATATGTATATTAAAACATAAATATAATTATTTATAATAAATATAAAAAAATATATTATTTGCTAAGTACAAACCAATGTGACGTCTGAATCTTTCCCATACTGAGTGCGTGTAAAATTTTTAAAAAGAATTCAATATTATTAAATTACAAATATATAAAAATGTAAAAAAACAAACAAAATGAAAAGATCATGAATTAGGCTTAAAAAATTATCATAACATTATATATTTATATTACAGCAATAATTAAGGCTAATTAAACATTTTTTTCTAGTCTTTCTTCAAAAATTTTCTCTTCAAATCAAATTTAATAAGTTTCACGTTATTCAAATTTATTTCTTATTGTTTATCAAACTAATATTTTTATTTATGAATAAATAAATTAAAAGCATGGTTTTATATAATTTTTTTCTAAGGTAAAATTGCGTTTAATATAAATAATTGTTATATTTTAGTACTCTTGATAAAATTTAAGCCGGTAGAACGTTTTAATTAGAATCATTTTTGAATGTTCCTATTGCAATACAATTTTTGCTGGAATAGTGCTTATATAAAAATAATTTTTAAATTTTCCTACTCGTGGAAATATTTCTACTGCTATAGTGTTGTAATTAAATAAATCTTATAATGTTTGTACTCATGTTAAAAAACTATTGCTGCTAAAACGTTTCAATATGAAAAATCCTTACATTTTCCAATTTGTGGTAAAATTTTAACTGCTATAGTGTTATAATATAAATAATTCTTAAATTTTCCTCTTAGTGGTAAAAATTCAGCTGTTGTAGTTTTTTAATATAAATAATTCATAAAATTTTCTTCTCTCAGTAAAATTTCAGCTTCTTTAGCGTTGTAATAGAAAAAAGTCTTAAATATTGCTACTCCTGGTAAAATTCCTGCAGCTATAACGTTTTAAAATAAAGTATTCTTTAATTTTTCTAATTATAAATAATTATTCAATTTTTCTGCTCATGATAAAATTCCTGCTCCTAAAACGTTTTAATACATGTAATTCTTAAACTATTACCGATCATGCTTTAATATAAATATTTTTTTAAATATTCCTAATTCGTGGTAACATTTTGCTGCTATAACGTTTTGATATTAATAATGCTTATATTTTGGTAATAGTCATAAAATTTCTGCAGCTAAAACGTTTTAATGCATATAATTCTTAAATTATTCGTGCCAATGCTTTCATATAAATATTTTTAATTTTTTTTTGCTGTTCTCATACTGAGTTGTAATATATATAATTCTTTACTTGTGGTAAAATTTCTGCTACTATAAGCCACAGAATCCTTCCCCTCGTACTGAGTATAAGCCTGAACCTGATAGGTAGCACCTGGTGTCAACTCTCTTAAAGAATATTGCTGAACTCCTTCAGCTATCGATATGGATTGTGTACCAGATTGGGGATCAGATATTGGAATAACCTAAAAAAAATGTACAGTATAAATGAAAAATATTAAAATGAACGATATCAGGTAGTCGAGGAGTTTCTGGTACCTTTAATTTAAAACTAGAAAAATGTCCCTGGTTTGGAGGATTCCATGACACCAGAGCCTGTTTGCCTCCTCGAACATTCACCGAAAGGTTTGATGGTGGATCAGGAGCTGTAAAAATTAAATAATTATAAATATATATAATTATACAATAATAATAATAGGTTGTCAAATATCTCCCTTCCGCCTTTTTGTATTATAAACCAAGAGCAAAAAAGCGGAAGGGAGATATTTGACAACCTAATATTAATGATATATATATTGAAAAAAAATTAAACCTTGATTTTTGTGTAATGTATATATAAAAAAAATATATAGTATATGATTTGAAGGAGATTAATCAATATTTTTATACTAGATTTAGAATTAGTGTAAAATGTAAGTAAATTTATATATTTATTTATTTATTTATTCAACACCCAAGGCAATAATACAATATAATTACATTTTAAATTGTACAAATTATAAACTAAACATAATATGTGAGAAAATTTGAGTATTAAGAGTTCAAAGATAGCTTTGTATATATACATAACATTTAATATAAACTACAAATATATAACATTGAATAAAAACTAATAATATTAAACATTTAAAAAACTATAAATCACTACTTAAGACGGTCATTTAAAGATAATTTTTCTGGCTTGTAAGATATATTAGAATTGTTATATTACATATATTAGAATGATATTATCGTGAATATAAATGAGCAGTATTGATAATATTATCCAAAATCAGCTAAATTTTCACCTTCCTGCAACAAACCCTAACTAGGCAAATTTTTAATCATAATATACTTTTATATTGTTATTTATTAGAAAACAGATGGAGGAGAAGTTCAAAGAGTTGTATTGGCTAATTGGCAGGATTTCAAATATGTGCTATGAAAACAAACTCCTTCTATATAAAACGATAATTGTCCCAATCTGGACATACGGCATTGAGCTATGGGCGTGCGCAAGAAATTCAAATATAAAAAAATACAAGTAGCGCAATCGAAAATTTTAAGATGCATTGTGAACGCACTCTGGTATGTTACAAATGACACCCTACATAAAGACCTAAAAATAAAAACTATTAATGAAATAATAAAAGAAAGGAGCAAAAAATACCACGAAAACTACCAGGTCACCCAAACATATATTTAAAAGAATTAAGCGAGGAATATCCCACGCAAAGATTGAAAAAAAATGGCCTTACGATCTTAAATAAAATCTCATAAAATAAAAAAAGAGAGATATCTCATAGGAGATAATCTCTTAATTGCATTAACATTACAGCACATTGTCTTAAAAAATGTATATTATTTTGATTGACAATAAAACTATGCAAATAAAAAAATATATATACTTTTATACGTATCTCTCATAATTTTCTACATATTATGAAAAGAAAGTGGTTTTTCGAAGAAAAAATCTAAAATATTTTTCTTAAAATCGTAATTTTTATTTTTCTTCTTTATTGTCTTTATATATAATAATATTTGCCGGCTGCTAATAAATATATATAAAAAAATTCTAGCTATCATGAGAAGAAAGTGGTTCTTGGAAAAAAAAAATCCAAATATTTTTTAAGCCGGCTGTTAATAAATATATAAAATTTGATTATTACTATTATTACCTGTCGTAATACTTGCGGTCCACGTCAACCAATCTTTTAAGGTATCATTAGAATAATATAATCTAAATTCGTATTTAGTGCCAGGTAGGCCCTTGGAAAATTGTATCACATCGCCCACAACGTCACCTGATAAAACATAAAATTATATAAAATTATTAACAAATTTTGATTATTGTCTTTAATGATGAGGTAATTGTTTTTTTTTATCCTTTACCTGCTGGTATGGTGGTATTGGGTCCTGGTACACCGACTGGGGGCCTGTAGTCGAGCCTGTAAAAAGCCCCTAATTGCCCACCGAGGTTTCCTGGAATTTCTATCACCAAATCGGCACATAATGAATACTGAAAAGGAAAAAAATATAAAAAAATGTTAACTTATAAGTGTATTACTAAGTTGTTATTTCTTTAAGTTTCTGATAATTTTGTGAATATTTTCGTAAGTTTCTTCATAAGTTATTATGTTGTTGATGTTTTTTTGGATCTTTTGATTTCAGAATTGTTGTGCAGCTAATCCAGCTACTTAATAATAATAAAATTATTTTATTTTAGTCACTTTTTATAAGTAAAGGGTCTGAAATAATATTTATTAATATTGATTACGGTTTGGTTTTGAATAAATAAATAAATAAGCAAGTTGCATATTTTTGATTTTGATAAAGGCAGTCCAATCTGTTCCGAAATACGTTGAAAAATATGGTTATATAATCTTTTAAACCGAAAATGATTATCATTTATACATAATAATTTATAAGATATATTATTGAAATTTCTCTTAATATTAATAAAATTAAATTTTTCCAATCAGACACTTTAGAACTTTTAATAAAATATTATCTTTATAGACATTTTATTAGCATCCATTTTATAAATAATATTTTTTAAAATGTTTATAAAATTGGCATTGAAGTTTTTTAAGATTCGAGTGAAACGTTTGAATTTTAATTATAATATCAATTTTTATAGCGCTTTTATATATTGTGTATATATTTTATTCCAGAAATTTTGGAATCTGTGTTAACAAATAAAAACTTTCAAAATGTTTATAGAATATGCATTGTGAATTTATAAGATTAATTTTAAGCTAAGATTTTGATAGAAACTTTTACATCTTTATTTATAATATATCAATATCTTATTTTTGGGTTCTGTACCTATAAATAAAAATTTCCAAAATTTTTATAAGATTCTCACTGGAAACTTATAAAATTCGTTCAAAGCAAAAGTTCAACTATTCAAGCAAAAATTATAGTTAAACGATTTTAAATATTACATAGTATTAATATGGGGGCTTCGTTATTTTAATATTATATAAAATCAAAAATAACAGCAAATAATTTTAAAAATAAATTCAGTGCTAATTATATAAATGAATTTAACTTTTTTGTTCTTATTTTATCGTTCTTTTGTATTAGTTGTTATATTGTTGACAAATATTCAGAATAAGATTCTAACCGTTAGAATGTTAGATATATATATATATATATATATATATATATATATATATATATATATACATGTGCTAAATAAAACGTCTAACGGGATTCACTGTCATGGAAATTCTGCGTTTCACACACATTCAATATATAAAAAACATTTATATATATACATATATATATATATATAAATATATATATATGTGTGTGTGTTATTTTTTTAATTTCACACATTGCACATTAATTAAATGTCATCATTAATTTTTTCTTAACTTCTTCAATTTATGATTCGAGCGTAAAAACTAAAATGAAAGCGTTTTTATTCAACGAGCGTGATGAATGCATATAAACATTTTAATATATATATATATATATATATATATATATATATATATTTATATAAATTAACCTATAAAAAAGATTAATTATAAATTTTTCTTTTCATTTAAATTTCGAAAACAGCTTCGGTTTTGCTTTCTCGTTCTGAAATTAAATTGTTTATTTACATTTTATTGTTATTATAGTTTTTTTAATAACTACATATTGCCAAAAGTATATGAATTAACATAAAGAATTAAGTCCTGTCTCTGTTTTTCTGCTTATTATCTATGACCAGTCTTACAGAATTAAAACTGCAATTATGAATGTGTGAATTGGTTTTTAGTAATTTTAAAAATTAGAACATTACACATTTTTGCACGAAAATTGATGCATCATACCGCCAATTAGCACATTTTAATTTCGCGCTAATTTTCTAAAACTGAGTCGTAGTAAAAAAAATACAGTTATTGGATTCTGATTCATGTTTATTTGAGACAAAAAGATAATGTAATATTATTCATTAATAATATAATCTATAAATGCTATCCGACATGTACAGAATTCTTCATCTCCATTTATCAAAATGCATTTGTATAGACAAATATGATAAATGAAGCATTTATATCAATTTCAAGAATTTTATATCAGAAAAATATCATAAATATAATTCAAAAGGTATTTGTGTCAAATGTAAATATTTAAAAAATATCAAAATCGAATTGTCAACAAATTACGTTGTTTTGAAATAGTTTGGCGATAATATTTTATTGCGCTAAGAAGTTAGCGATTTGGAATATTAATAATAAAATCAGGAGTCGCACAAGGGAGTGCGATAGGACCAACAGAAATGAAACAGTATGAAATAATGAAAATATTTTAAAAACATCACTATATATAAATATATAGATATATAAATCTTTTTCAGTGTATAACATTTAACGATATTAATAATAAAATCAGGAGTCGCACAAGGGAGTGCGATAGGACCAACAAAAATGAAACAACATGAAATAATATAAATATTTTTAAAACATCTTATTATCTTATATATACATATATAAATCTGTTTCAGTGTGAAAAATTTAACGATTTAGAATATTATTAATAGAATTAGGAGTCGCACAAGAGAGTGCAATAGAACCAACAGAAATAAAACACGATATAATAAAAATATTTTTAAAACATATATATATATATATATATATATAATACATATATAAATCTGTTTCAGTGGGTAACATTCAACGATTTAGAATATTGATAATAAAATCAGGAGTCGCACAAGGGAGGACGATAGGACCAACAGAAATGAAATATTATAAAATAATTAAAATATTTTTAAAACATCACTATATATACATTTATACATACATAATTCTTTTTCAGTGTGTAACACACTTGTCCAAGAATGTGGAACAAAAGACTTTCACCCTATGCATTGTGAATAATTTAAATAAATTTAAATGTTGGAATTTATATATATACATATGTGTGTGTGTTTGTGTGTGTGTGTATCTTTATAAATTTGTATCCTTATCCTCCCCTAAACGGCTGGTCTAATTTTGATGAAAGATTTTATATTAAACCAAGTGCTATAGAAATTGGTATAAATTAAATTCAAAAATGCAATTATGTAAAAATAAGAGACAATTAGCGAAAAATAATTTATCATTGTTTATTAATTATTAATTATTAATTAACCATTAATTTGGACACAAAACTGATGACATTTTCATAAATATCATTTTCTGACAATTTGTATTCAAAATGCTATTATATGATAAATTCTGCGTAAGTAAAATGTAATGCTATTACTATTACCAAAAGGCTATTAAAATGAAAAACAAAATATAACAGAATAAACTTTAGAATCACCAAAATTAAATGTTTCTAATATTGTTATTTTGTTATATTTATTATTATCTTTCACTTATTGTTTTTATTCTACTTTATTGTTTTTCTAGTATTATTTTTATTAACAGAAATTTTATTTATTTACTTATTAATTTTATTATTATTATTATTTTCTTTTATCTTAAATTAAATCAACATACTACGGATATCATTTTATTAAAAATTCTATCCTTTATTTTGTGCTCTTTTTATTAAATTTATATAATTGTTCATTTGTTGTAACAAATATAGTATTTAGAATAAAACTTTTCTTGTTTCTCTTGAAATTTAAATAAACGAGAATATTTTGTTTCTGAAGCAGAAGTATATATTTTCCAGATAATCCGATTTGCTATATGTTTCCTCGACGTTTCAAGTCATTTTGAATAGTTTTGCAAAAAAATTGGAAAAAGCATATGTGTGTCAGAATTTGGCAATTGGACAATCAGCTCAAATTCTTCAGAATTAGTCCGAATTTTTTTTTTGTCCTTGTTTTAGACAAAAATTTCGACTGGATTTCAAAAATTCAAAAAACTGTTCGATGATGGTTGTGAATATAGTAGTGATTTATTTTTTTGTAATCAATTGTTCAAATTGCATAGAAATAGAAGTATAAAGTTATATTAAATAATAGTAATAAATTTATATAAAATTTGAATGGTTTAGTGGAATTTTAATTTAAAAAAAATAGAAGTAAGAAAGAAAACAAGATTTAAGTTAAAAGAAAAGAAGAATGAAGAAATCAGTTGTAAAGTGCAAAGAGAAAAATTGGATAGAATGAGATAATATATAATATAGTATATAAAAATAAAAATAGTATAGAATATAAAAAAATGAAATGTTGTAAGTAACTAAAGTAAGAAAGTAAGTTGTAAGTGATAAAACTAGCCTGTTGCCAAATTTTTATTATATTATTTCTAACCACACAACATTTTTGCTTCCAGAATTTTTTTCGAAAAATGCATTTGTGATTTTGAGTTATGAGTTTTATATATATATATATATTATATATATATATATATATATATATATGCAGTGGACGTCCTTGCAACTGCATCAAGGATATCTTCGTCGTTTCATTAAAACAAAATTTATATTCACAAACGGTACAACAACAGGAAAACAGAAAAATACACACAGACACATACATATATATATATATATAAATATATATATATACAAGGTAAATAAATTACCATAAGATTACAATAAATGTGATCGTCCAACAGTTGAACAACCTGTTTCAGGAAGTTGACAAAGAAATTCCAACCATACAAAGATCTCCATTCAATAAATAAATATTTATTCAATACTTGTTTCATAAATTTATTAACAAAGTTATTTTTTTGCTTGCCAAGTGCGTCTAATTTTCCATAATTTTCCGTAATTTTCTATAATTTCCGTACAATGACGAATTACGTAATTTATTTTCAAACAATATATATATGTTTTTTCGCGTGCAACAATGTGCGATTAATATCGATACATAATAAATAATTTGCTAGTTGAAAATTTCACAGAAAATACGTGCAAATTTCAACTTTTGCACGTTTCTTATGCAACCGTGGAAGTTTTCCTTTAATTAGGTAATAAAAAATCTCATGTCGCATGTATAATAATAAATTTGAAAATTAAGAGATAAAAATGTTTAGAGACTCTTAGTAATAATTTTGTTTCACTATTTTTTTTATTATT